AAAATATTACTGTAGCAAACAATTTCATTTATTAAAGGATGATTAACAAGGGCTAAGATGGTTTAACGCGTCTCTAGAATACCCAATATACCCTTAAAATTTTTGTTGTAGAGTCCAACATAGACTTTAGGTACTTTTTTTCCTTAAAGATCCAAATGTCACAGTACTTACCACTCATTTCAAGTATAACATATTGTAAGCTGGTTTCTCCAGAGGACTTTAACCTGTCTTCCTTGTCGTCGATCCACCTTGAAATTCTGTCAAAAAGAAAAAATACAGTTACTGACATGTTTGATATGTTGAACATGATAATGTAGGTATAGAAGTTAAAACATTGTCTACCTTTCTCTCAAGTAGCTTGCATTAGCAAAGTAAATAGGAGCATCAATCTCGAGTACTAAAACTCCCGGAACATTATTCGTGTTGGGGTATTGGTCAACATTTCTGTAAATTTCCGAACCCGGGATGTTACCAAGAACTAAGGTTCTTGGTCTTGCAACAAACAACAATACTCTAAGCAATGATATCCCAACCTGCAGCTTTTAAATCCACAATCAGTTTCTACATAAGGACACTTTCTTACGCGGTACTGATTGATGAGCACCTTTTTTACGTGCACATCAAGCAGTCGACCAACAATGAATTGGGATGAGAAAAAAAGGTATACGCACCGCCATGATTAAACCAATCTCAATGTTGGTAAAGACAACACCAATGTATGCACTCATACATACTAAGAAATCAAATTTGTCTATATGCCAAAGATGAATGGCTGCTTCATAATCAATGAGGCCTAGCATTGCAGCAATTATAATTGAGGACAGAACAACAAGTGGAGTGTAATGGAACAATGGAGTTAAGAATAACAGTGTTATCATCACTGCAATTGCCATGACAATGTTAGAAACTGCTGTTTTGCATCCTGCATTGAAGTTCACTGCTGATCTCGAGAACGGCCCTGAAAAGTCACATAAAAGCAACATTTAGAACCCGAACGGAATGAAAATTGGATTCTTGTAACACGATAGGAACTAGTTCCCGACCTAGCTCAAGGCTATAGTCATGGACCTCATATGGTTTATAGTCCTATAAACAGCACGACATGTCACGTCCATCACTTTAATGAACCAAAACTCGAAGTCATATGCCGAACTTTATTCAATGTCTGGTAACCTGTTCATCCCGACCAACTTTACGATTTAATTTTGTAACATAAGGAGCGTTAATACCTGAGGTGAGGTAGCAGGAAGTGCAAGAACCAGCAATATTCATCATTCCAAAAGCAATCATCTCTTTGTTCCCATCAATGTTGTAATTCTTGTACATGGCAAAGCTTCTGCCCACTGCAATGCCTTCCTGTCCCATACATGCACATAGGACATGCTTAATTTTGATGTTGATTTTGTTTCTTTAAATTTTTTTAATTACTAGTTTAAACCCAGTTCAACTCTTGACCCTTTACTTTTCTCGTCAATGACCTT